GATAATTAATTATTGTGTTTATATACACAAAATCATAAACTAGATCATATTTAGTCAGTTCCACATTGATTGACTTCCCTATTATTTAAATCAACAAAAGTAATCAAATACTTCCTATTAGTAATAATACAAAACTTATGTATTTCTTATTTTATGGCAAAAAATTAGTATTATTTAACTAGACGTTAAGTTTAAACATGTAGTTTTTAAACAAATATATCTCTTATAATTTAAGTTATAAATAATTAGACGTTTAACTACATGTTACATGTATACTCTATAACGATAATGTAATGTAAATAATTAATTGTGAAATCTATTTGAAACTTATTATTTAACACTTAAGGTAATAAATTTGATTATAAAATATTATAAAAATATTAAACATAAAGTATCACAAAATAAATTTTTTAATTAAAAATATAAAAACTTTAATCAAACAAAATGTTTATATAAATTATATACAAATATTTTTTTGCGAATATTTATATAAAGTAAATCGTGTTTGAAATTATGAATACTGAATAATCTAAAGAATTTACATTTTGATAAATTTACAATAAATAGTTTAATTATTGGCTGATTGTTGGCAATTAACATTAGGATCAATAATGTAATGAATTTTCAGACATTTATTTAACATAACAATTGATTGTTGAAAAAGTAGTAATTATTTTACCAAATATCAAGGATTTGTAAAATAGTTTCAAACAAATATTTAATACATTTTTACACGAAAATTATTTGCAAATGTTATAGTAATACGAAAGCTCTCATCAACAATAGGTAGGAAACAAGGTTTACACAGCGTTACAATTAACCACAATTTGGGTAATGCTTAAAGAATAGATTTGCATTATTTACAGATTTAATACGAGTCCATAGGATTAGCATTAGTACCCATAAAGACCATAGACTGGTAGGCATTACCACAGATTTAGCATTGCCCATAGATATAACATTGATCCAGGATTAGCATAGACTAATGCTAACATTACCCATGTTTAACCTATGTAATAGAATTAAGCTGTAATCATAAAAACCCATGTTAAACATATGGGACAAAGTATAGTCATAGACTTAAGCTGGGAATCCATGTTAAATCCCATAGAACGGGGCCGGGGATGGTGGGTCAAACAATCCTATAAACCACATTATTAATATCTGAATTGTGGTTTAAAATGTTCAGATTTTCTAAGCAGATAATAACAAATGTATAAACAAGTACTTCATCTGACAGTCAAGTCTTCTTTAGCTATTATTATACACAAAATCGTGGTATCGATTGAATAGTATTTTTCTATTATAAATGATTTCTCATGAAATGCATCACTAATTCGACCACATTTTTGATGTATTTTATCTATATTTGTAAGCCTCTGAAAAATACGGATCATTTCCCTAACATATTATGTGGTAATTAAAAAAATTGTAATAATATTTTCAATTTATTTCATTTTCCTATTTATAAGTGTTGTGTTTGTTATATATATTTCGCAAATTAGTTTAGATATGAATACAATTGTGTTGTATTTTATTTGAAGTCATAACATGTTTTTCAGATAATTATTCATTGCTTTAATGCTGTCTTGTATTGAAGCGGAAGAATATAATGTAAAGACCTTAAGAGTTCGTCAAAGCATTTAATTTTATACATTAATTATTATGAATTTTAATTATAAATTCGGATATTATATGATAGTATCACAAAAGACTTGTTCATCTGTTCCCTATAGTCATAACAAATGGCACAACAATTGAAGAAAAGTAATAAAACAGGAGAGAGAGAGAGAGAGAGAGAGAGNAGTAATAAAAACAGGAGAGAGAGAGAGAGAGAGAGAGAGAGAGAGAGAGAGAATGACAAAACACAATGACGGATATGTATGAGATATTATTTGCAGAGAAACAGTACTGAAAGTATTGTATCTAAAATCGATTAAAACCATTAAATAATATCATTAATTACAACAATATTAAAGAATAACACGAAGAATATATGATATAACTGTCCGGTCAATGACTTCCAGATGTGGTAAATGATATAAAGTATGCGAACACTGGGTTCAGACATTCAATACAATGGCATTTGTCCGCACTTTTTTAGCTGCCCTCGGCTTCTGTGGTTTGTGGTCGTGAAGTAGAGTTGCGCCCCAATAGTGATCTTCGGGTCCTTTTCCGCAGTGATAAAACCATTTCCACTTTTGTCTCCTCTGGTCGTAATACCAGTATATATTGCCGGTCAGAGCCGCTAATGTCAACAGCATTACCGATACCAACAACGATAGGCATAAGACGTTACGCATAAGCGGTGAATATGGGTTAGGAATGACCCAAATTGGGATCAATAGAAACGGAGTTATTGTGACTATTGTTGCGAAACAGAGAGACAAAAAATTCATAAGAAATTAATCAATGAATTCATAGCAAATAATATCGCGTTTATTGTTAACGTGTGTCTGTTGTGTGCATTCAATTCATTATTTTGTTGGTAATCAGTATTTAATATAATTATTATATGAATTCTTTGGGTAATGTATTGATAGCGTAATGAAATTCATGACTTTTATTCGTGATTTATTCAATCATTATTGATATGTTTTGCGAGTAATCGGTGTTTGTTTGACATTCAAAATGTTTCAATTAAAGTGTTTCTTTAAACACTCGTTTAGTTTTGTATATTAAAAAGAGTGACTATTTATGAATAGGTATTGTATATTATAATTGTGTACTCAAATAATGATTTGTTGTAATCATAAATAAAATGGTATATTTCTCGCTCGTTTACCTCATAATATGAAATAATAAAAATATCACAACTTCTGAATTATATATTATCATAACTTTATGCAATGAATTATAAATAAAAATAATGACAAATGAGATGACATTCAAGAATTTATCCAATTATATGGCATATAAACTATGGCCAGAATTGACACGTTTAGCGCCAATTCGTTACAAACGGAAAATTCTTTCAAAATTTTTTGCTTAATAATGAATTAACGAGAAATTACGAGAAAGTGATTTCAAGTTTGTCACACCTGTGCTGTATATCTCGTATATATTATTAACGATAAAGTATTGCATTTTTCCTGTGAAACACTCAAACACTGGCTCTTTCTTTGTCAGAATTTTTAATAACTATACAAAGCTTTTGTGTGTTTGCACTAAATATTACGAAATTAATATCACTCTTATGTTTTCGCTATGGATTACGAGCGCCTAAAATGATTAATCGAGAAATTTTATTTGTTTTACGCATAATTATTACATTAATATTTAATATATTAGCCATAATTGCAATGAAATAAAACAATAATATATTTGATCATTATCATTTTTCTCTCTCTCTCTCTCTCTTTCGTGCTATTTATTGTTGTCAATCAATACCAGTTAAATACAAACCTAATAAGAGACCGAAGATTATAGTGATGAGAGAAATACATTCACACAATCGTTGGGACTTAAATCGTTTGAGTTCCTGTTGTGCTGAAAGTGGCACCAAATTCACCGACCGTTTATAATTAGTACTGCAATAGGGAGAGAGAAAAATGATAATGATCAAATATATTATTGTTTTATTTCATTGCAATTATGGCTAATATATTAAATATTAATGTAATACAAAAACACCGCCGACTATGACTCGAGAGACTCATTAAGGGGTTTGAGTTTCCTTTCAAATTCACATATCGTTAAGAATATAATAGTATTTTGTATTTATTGTTAAATAGGGATACGATTGCTATTCAATGAATAATAGACACTAAAAACTTATGTATTTCTCATTCCTCAAGAACTTTAAAGCCGAAGGACACTGTGTTTTGCAATTCAATTGTAATCCTTTAGCATGTATTTTGTTATGTTATTTAATCAAACAAAGTTGTGTTCACTTTTCTTTTTCTTTCATGATAAATTTAGTACAACTGTTTGTTTTAATTGAAAATTTTATTTAAATTTAATACAAACATCCGCTTTAAATATAGTGTTTTATAAATAAAATATTTATTTTTAAAACTTTTAAAACAGATTTCGTAATCAAGTTTTAAGTTAATTAAAATCGTATCAAATTTGTAGGACTTTTCGTTTCAGTTTTGAATTAAATTTGAATAATTTTAACATTTGATTTAAATATACCATTAAAATTGCATTGCATTTAAATATAAAATTCAAATTGACATTTGTATTATTTTTGTTTTCAATTTAATATAAGACTTACTTATTATTCAGTTATTGGAAATTCAAGTAATGGTTTAATCGATATTAACATTAATGTCAGACATAAATAGATTAATGTATTTTTGCAATAAATATTTTATGAGAAAAACAAATTTTCAATATCAGAGACATATGTTTAGTAAATATATGTCGAGAAGTGTTACATCAGATATTCCTCTCGATATTAACATAAAACTAATTTTACCGTACGATACAGTCCGACCCCGTTATAGTCAATTCAACCATAAAATGCTTATCTAGCAGATAATCTTTGCCATCAATTATAGGCGAACTATGGATATAATAAATTAAATTTGTTGATTACTGACAGATAACATCCGGTGCCTATTGTACGGCATATAATGGGTCCCAATCTTTTGCAATTCACTGTATTGTTTGTTTGCTCTGATTTTAGGGGTTTGTTATATACCATACATGTATATTAACATGAAATTTAATTATAAAAGTTAACAAAAAACTATCTATCGATGAATTGAATTTTATTTGATTATTTAGTCCTCAATTTAAAACGCTATCTTATTGTCACTTAAATATCTATTCACTTCAATGTAGATATAAAACTGGTTGTCATAAGGAGAGCATTACCTCCAGATTATGCCCTTTCATAACACCTAAACAGTAAATGATTTGATAATTTCATTTACTATTAATTGTTTGTATTATATAAATTGTATAAATTATACAAAATAATTATTTATTGTTTTAAATTGAATAACATTTTCACTTATCTAAAGTATTTTATAAACGGATTAAATTATAAATTTTTTCTGACATATTTTCAATCAATTCTTATACGAAACAACAGCACAAATGACTTAAAGCCAAAACTGTGCTCTAAAATCAATAATTACAACAAAGTCTTAATTATAAGCGCAAAACATAGTTTTGATTAATCTTTGGTTTAATTGAATACATGTAAGACTTGCCGAGTATTTAGATATTGAAAAACTTGTAAGAAAAACTAGATTCTAAATCAATCCGCAGAGACTAGAGAGCAATATAAACAAGAAAAATATGAACAATAAGGTAATAAAGTTTTTATTTTGTAAATATATATTACTATAAATATATACTGCTATCATATGATGACTATTTCATAATTAGTTTCCAAAAATAAGACCTAGTTTAAAACATTGAAAGAAGTAATTTATAATAACTGTTATACTGTACTGTGTATTGCTTTTTCTCGTTGCAAAATAAAATCAACATAAATGTGGTTTTTTAGATCAATTCGTTACACAAACTGCAGTTCATTTAACTTTAATATAAAAATTTTATTTATATTTTCGTCATTTTTCATAGTTTCTCGTATTATTTACTGAAATATTTATAAAACCGCACAAATAATTGCGATAACAATAATAACGAGGAAATTGTTTAGTATTTATTTGCAATAATTTCTATAAGAGATGAGAATTGTAAATACAATTAATATTAAAATATACAATACGTATAACATCTCAGTTATATTGATTAAACGCAATAGAAATTTAATTATAAAATGAGTTTTTGTCTGTATTTTACACTTATATATCAATATTATTCCTTAAGGAAAGTGAATGTAAATATTGATACTACTTATGGTTTATGTATTAACTATGTTTTGTAATTTTGTTCTCTCTCTCTCTCTCTCTCTCTCTCTCTCTCTCGCATATTTACAGTATATATTTCTAATGTATGTAAAAGTGATATTATAGTTAATGAAAAAAATGCAGCAAAAGATAAAATCATGTGAATTCCTAAAAGTTAGAGGAAATAATAGCTATAATTTTGTTGCGAAATTATACGATTTATGAAATTGAATGCAAATTTAAACAAACATTAATATCCAAAATCTTTCATTAAAACCAAAGCATTCTCTGTATTAGAATTTAATATTGACTTTTATTTTCAATATACAAAACACACTGTATTTTGGGTTTTTTTATGGCAAAGAATTGTTTTGTTTTTTGTAATTAAAATGGGATCTGATTTAGACCTTAAAGCAAACTAATATCTATTTCGAGAAAAATCATTAAAAGTCTGTTAAACAAGCCTTAAGTTTAAATGTCGTGACATTTAAGGGTTTTATTTGCCTAATAAAGGCCTAAATGTCAATGAATAATAAATGATACAAACTTTTTATAATACAAAAAGATTATACAAATTAATTGACATTTTCTCAGTCACATGAACCAAAAGACAGGTCTTTTCTTACAGTAATCTCATTCATAATTAATTAGAAAATACATTTTCTTACATAAAAAGGAGATAAACTATAGATTTATCTCAATTTGAATGAAAGTCAATCTTAATTGAGAATTGATGTGAAAAAAGAAAGTGAAAAACAACT